CCTGGGCTGGGGGCTTGGCGCAGCGCGCGGCTGAGGTGGCGGCAGGGGAGCGAGGTGTTTGGCGTGCGTTCGGCCGTGCGGCGGGCGGGCCGTGCGGCGCAGCGAAGCGGGGCGGCGCGGCGCGCGAGGGCGGGCGATCGATTGCGAGGGCGCGGGGCGGGCGGTGCCGAGCGAGCGCGGCCGAGCGCGGCGGGACGGGGCGCAGCGGGAAGGGGCGAGCGCCACGCACGGGGGGCCCGATGACACGCCACGCAAGCGCGTGGCACGGCTCGCGTCGGCTGCGGGACCTCATTGCGAAAGGGTTGAGCGTTTCCTGGCGGATCCGGGGGAGGGGGGCATGGCCTCGTCCCAAAAGGCCACAGTTACCGTTTGATACTTTCCTTTATTTGACAAAATTGGTTTAAATATTTGTTAGAAATAAGTAATTATTTTAAGAACAATATGGTATATCATATACACCACCAAAATAATACATAATACAATAAAGTTTTATTATTTAATAAAAAAGAAAGAACAAAAAGAAAAAACGGTTGGATCCGCCTTTGGCGCATTTGAAAATAATGCTAGTCGAATATTTCAGTGGGAGAGGGATATAATGAAGGGAAACGCAAACTAATTTCTCGAAATTAAAGTTTCACCCTATTCGCCAAAGTTTAAAGCGTCCTAATGAAAATGTTAAAGTTAACTAGTTGTGTAGTAACCTTCAAAAATAACAGTGGTAAGGGTTGCAATCTCATTTCCACAGCATCTGCTTTCATATTTTAGTAAACAAAAGTGCAGTGTACAGCGTATTTAATACAAAAGCAAAATGTTTAATCAATTAAAAATGTATAAAGTACAATTAAAAGTAAGAATTAACAAGTTCCGTTTTCCAAGATTTCTATATCAGTACTTTAATGTTATTACTACTTTGTTAGGACTAACCTATTTTATTCCCTTCATCTTAACATGAGTTTAATGCATATATTCGTTCTAATCATGACTTATCCAAATATCAATCATTAAAATAATTTATATACCAATCGTATTACTCCTAAAAACTGATAAAATGTATGATCCCCAAAAGAGGCTAAATCATGAAGTTCTGAAATTAAAAAGAGTGCCTTGGAAGAGGGGGTGAGTCACGGGAGTTGCGACATCCAGCGAAGTGACTCAGTGCGTAGCGCACTGACTTCGCAATTGGGAGGTCCGGGTTCGATGCCCAGGCCGGCCATCCTCAGGGATTTCCCTTGGTCATTCAGGCGAATGCTGAGATGGTTAAAACAAGCTACGATCACCTCTCATCAACCCACCACTCATCATCACCCTATCATTTCATTCAACATTCCCTGCAAAAAGCAGGAGGCCCTTACTCTTAATGAGATCTTAGTTTAATAATAATAATAATAATAATAATAATAATAATAATAATAATAATAGTTTAGTCAATAAGTTACGTTGAATTTGTACCCTGTTGCGTCAGTGCTTTGGTTGGCTCAGAGTGGAGTGGCGGAAGCACGTTTCTTTCGCACTAATATCGCCGATGACAGGTCGTGCCGAGAAGTTTGACAGCCAAGAATGTCGTATCATCCTGAGCCATGAGCCCTTCAGAAACTTCCCAGGCAACGCCAATTGCACACTCGGTGTCAGCCACTGCAGAAGTCGATAGCATTTGAGTGCTGGTGCAAATACGTCTGAATAAAATAGAATATGCAAAAAGCAAAAGCTGCGAGAGTGCACGGTGATATTTTGTCAACCATGTCAAAAACATTTAGGTTGTGACAACAAGATCACATTTTGAGCTACTCAAAGAGTCTACCTCTCGTAGAAACAATAACACAAAAATAATAAAAACATTTATTCAACCTTTCATTTCAATTGCTACAAGTTTTATGGTGAATTGGTACACTTTCATTACAGATTGAACGAATGAAATCTCCAAATGTGCCATAGAATGTGCTAAAGAACGTGGTTTTCCGCAGTCTCTTAGAAGATATGAGGTGTGAGTCTACTTTGTGCAAGAACTATTTGAAACCAGTCTATCTCAAGACACTGGATAGTATAAGAACAGAAGTAGGCGGCCATTACAGCGACAGCCCAGTCCAGAAGGCAACAACTCAAAATTCTAAGTTCTGAGTTACTATCGCTTTAATGTTGAATTTTGTGACTGGCACTTTAGAGTGATAGTGATAAAGTTTGAAGGCGCAATATCTCACAACGTAGGATTTTAAGTTGGTGCATTTTGGAACTGGTCCGTCGATATATTGCGCTGCAATAGTGGCACAACTCAAAAATACGAATTTTGAGTTAATGCGCACTCTAGAACAGCAGATTGGTCTATCTTCAATCAGCAACAGCACCACCAGTACAGAATTCCACCAACAAATGGCAGACGTGTGAATGCAAGATTGTTGCATTTCAATACAAGGCGAAACTTGAAACTCATTTATCTCAACACCTAATTTTTTGACTTGGGCCACTACTGGAGTAGGCGAACGACATGGCTTGGTGTTGATGATACCAGGATAACTGCGGTCATGAGATTACCAATGAAATCGGGAAACTGGATCCAATAGAGTAGGAAACACTCATCCAATCCTTTTCTCTGAGAAAAAATAAATCGCTGCACTACGGTGTATGCTGTTCGAGAAGCCCTAGTATTGGTCTGCTGGAACCGAAATGAAACATTTCTTCTTCTGCTCAGTGACTTCATTAAAGCAGGCAGGATTCTTACATTTTTTGTATGTATTCGTATGAGCCGTGGAACATTATCTACGATGTTCTCGAAAGTTCTTCAGTGCATTACCGACTACGCGAAAAAGTAAGGGATTTATAGTTCTTGTAGGAGAAGAAATATCTGAAAAATTACTCTGCGGGCTGAGAGCAGTTACACCTATGAAGTATGACCCACTGAATGTATGTTACGTTGAGTGAACCTTTTCTCGTGAGAGAGAGTGCTGAGATACTTTCAGATCAGGTAATAAAGGCGTGTACATGTTTGATGTACGTGGTACATGTACATGGTTGACAGCAAAAGTGCATCTTCATAAAATTGCATATTTTGTTTGTATGCTAATATTCAAGGGAATATTTAAAATTTTGCAACATTTATTTATTTGTTTAATGTGCTTTTTCAAATTCGTTAAATTCAAAAGTAAAAACATGGGTTAGTAGTCTAAATTTCTTACTTATTGCAAATATTTTCCAGTATGATACTAACACGATTAGAAAAAAATTGAAAACCTAAAATGGTCTCAATCTGTCATTCAAAATACCTAAAATGACGTTTATATAATCATACAAATCCAGGCCCTAATTATTATTTTCTAGAATCGTCCATACATCGCATGCACACACATTTCTCTTTCAAGATCACGCAAGTAACAAATAAATGAATGTTACCCAATGTTCTCTTTCAGGTATTTAATGACGAATTATAGGTTTTCCTGTTACGCATTGCTTATACAGGTTGGAAGATTTCAGACGAAAAACAACCACTGTTTTTTATGTACGTAGAGATCAATGGAAAAAACACACTCGTGTGTTCGTCATAATATTAGCAATGAATAGTATATTTACAGTTTGGCCTCCGAAGCCTACATGTTTGTAGAAATTTGTTGTTGTTTGTTGTTATTTTCCCTATTACGAACAGCGAGTGCAATGTAATACAGACGGTCAGCCGGTTGACGAGCTAAGGTTCCGACGTATTAAGCTCAGGCGCAATCGCAGTAGCACGATGAAGGTAATATAATATGCGCCCCAGTTCAGTCAACTCACACATTTGCGTTTCTCGTCGTTTCAGTGCGAAAAAGTAGACTTTTTCTACGGCAATAGAAATAGTCTCAACGCTTCGACTCACTTCAAACACTCTCTTCTGGTCGTTATAAAACACACACACACACACACACACACACACACACACACACACACACACACACACACACACACTTCTTTTGCACCTAGAAAAAATGAGAGCTCAAAAAGTCGTGCGCGGATAATGGCTCAAT